CTTCATACTTCATACTAGCATACAGACGTGAAAGTAGTATCAATCTTCTCATCTAACTCTCGGCATTAAAGTGAATAAGCAAATTTCACAACATGTTGAATTTTATTGGATAATTCTCATTTATTATAACTTGTTTTTTTCACAGTTTTGGCCATGATTTTTAATATTAAGCTCACCAAAATAATATATATGGTAATCCTGCAACATTGCCTATTTTACAACAAGGTTAGTGTTGGAAAGACACAGAGGAAGTTTAAATGATCAAACAGGTTGTAAACAAGGTAGAGTTTAGTTAATATTTTAACACTTTGTTTTCTGTTCCAAATAAATTTAGCTAACCTGTAAGATCATCTGACTGCTTGTGTTTCTTGGTCTTCACATTTCATTTTAGTTATGTTGCACCGTTCCCAGATCTTAGCAATTACACTAACTTGGTGAATTGTGTCATTACAGACAGGAATGATAATCTGACAATTAAATATAATGTGTGACACATTTAAGATAGACAATTGCACCCATCCAATCTGTTTTTCAGATTTTCTCTTCATTTTTCACATGGCCCCTGGTTGTAGGTCCAAGGCTAAAATGGCTTTCCCTGCTTTCTCTTGTGTCTGTAGCTGGAACATAAATCTATGCTTTAATGATAAACTAGCAGGCCTGTTAACACAAAGCCTCTTCTGTTCATTCTCTCTTTGATTTTTGCAGCAGCAGTCCTAATCTCACACTCGAGAAGGAAAATACCTCATCTATTTGAGAAAGTGTGCCTGTGTGTAAAGGTGCAAGAGAGAGAAAGCATTAGACTGAGGGAGACTGTAGGAGAGAAAGACTGAGGACGAGTCTTCATGGTGAAAAAGCAAAACAATAAATAAGGAGCTCTTTAAAAGCAGGCCCCCTCTATGTCACCAGAATATAAGCTTGGCCCCTCGTGGTGAAGCAGACAGGGGCAGACGGAGGCAAGTAGATTAACCACTTTCTTTGAGATTAGAGACTCGTTGGGAGATTACGGAGACAGGAGGCCAGGCAAAGGACTGCTTATCTGGCCCTGCTGCTCCACGCCAAGCCCTCCTTCACCTTGTCTGCCAAAACTGTCCCTCTCTTCACCCCAGGGGCAGACTGATGCAAGACGAGCCATCCGTCTGCTCAATGAGATTCCAGACTGTGCTCTCTAGCTACCACTTGTCTAAAAATATGCTGTCCGTGAATACACTTCAATCTCCTTCCATGTTAGAAGGTAAAGCAAAAAGCATCCTTTCAAATACAAACTTTCTGAGCAGGTAATAACTGAAAATACCTTTATTTTGAAAAGACCTAATGTTATTATGTCCTGTCGAATAAGATTAGGTAATTCAAAAGAGAAAGGCAAGCAGGAGAAACTTTGGACTCTAGGCCCAATGGGGCTGTGTGGTCTCCATGGTAACAGAGCAGGGGGAGCAACAGCAACTGTGTGTATATGTTTTTGTGTTTGTGTATGTGTGTGTGTGTGTGTGTGTGTGTGTGTGTGTGTGCTTTGTGGCCCACCTCAATATCTCGAATCAGGAGCTGTGTTGGTGTTTCCACAGGTGCTTTGGTATCAATGATTTTCTGGATGGCACATGCCCAGTGCACAGCCTCGTTGAAGTGCTTTGTGTACAGCCTGTAGCAGTGCTTTCGCCCATATACTGTGATGCTCCAGTACCCTGAAAGAAACACACAAAAAAAACTTTTTATATGACTGGCACTTGGAATTCAAACTGCACCTCATATGACACTGTAATTTAAGTAGATGGGGAAGAGAACAGTGAAATTTTCTTTGCACGGGACACCCCGCATATCTAGCATGACTCCCTCTCCCTGACTTCCTCTCTCAGTTTCACAGAGGATCAAAGGTCAGCCTGAGAGGAACCTCAGACCACGCCAAAACCAAACAAGAACAGTTATTCTACAGATCAGTTAGGACACAAGTGTTAAAGCCCTCAGTGAGTCTCCTCCTGAACAACCCGTAATAAAAGTGAAAAAAGGTGTGCTTCCTCCTTGTGCAGAGGAAGTATTAGACATACCCCAGGCAGCTTGGCCTGATCTGCAGACCCACGGCTGTTATCAGGCTTTCCTGCTACGTGACTTGGCACCACGTCCTTCTTTGTTAAGGTTCTTGTACGAACCCAAAATAAATGAACTTTTACAACTGAGATTATGACATGGAGATACTGTCATTGCCTACTTTGAACCGGTTTGTTACCCTTACATTAACTATGTTGTAAAGGGTCAATGCCAAAGATGGAACCCTTAAAGGGAACTAATATTTCATGGTAACAACCAGAAAATGCACAGAGGAAGTACATATTTCATGCTCTCTTTTGTGACAGATTTCTCAGTGGCTTAGGAGGAACACAGAGTTATTCAGTAGTGAAACAGCCAATAGAGCTTGTGTTAAAGCCACTGTTGAAATCACACTTCTGTCCAGAAAAGTCCCGTGGCATATTGAGTTAGTAAGACCTATGTTTGGGTTTGGGTTTATACAATGGTTTGGATATTTTAAGTGGTTTGGTGAAGTCAGCAGGACATAATCCCCTCCATTGATGGACAGGCAGAGTAGACACAGGGCGACATGCTTGAGTAATACAGAGACTTGAGAAGGGCAAGTCATTCCTGTGTCTCTTCCCGTATAGCCAAGACCTTCCTCTTTATTTTCTATGGCTTTTGTTCTTTTTCATTGCAGAAAAGCCCCGCTGATTACTCAAATGTGAGGTTTCTAGACCAATCATGAGCCACGTTTTGGATCAAACACAGCTGGGGTTTCCCCAACTTACTCAGAGTTACAGCACTCATGGGAAGTGAAATGGGACCACAATATCAAAAAACCCAGAACAACTTCCTAGGAATTTCAAAAAAAATATCTACGATCGCTACACCGCATAGAGAATTAACACAGATACTGGACTCTACAGAGATTACGGGCAAGCATACACGAGCGTGAGTTAGCTATACGTCAGCCTGTCTATGTGCCCCTCACCCGTCTCCTTGTATGTCTGCTTGTCTGGCCAGATGACAGAGCAAAGGTTGGTGAGGACCAGCGTGCCTAGTCTGCGGGCTCCTTTCTCTGGTCCACTGTAGTAGTCGAGGGAGTCCTGACTCAGCACAAACCAGTACCGACGCTGCTTGATCCAGTTGCCTCGCACCTCCCGCAACAGCCACCCTTTAAATAAGATAAACACATGTGTCATATGACAGTTCAACTTCAAAATAAAATAACACAGTGGCTCTTGCCAGCAGAACTGCAACAATTATTCAAGTTTGGACTGTAACAAGAAATTTGAAGATGTCACCTTGGGCTCTAGACATCAGACATCATAATAGACATTTTTCATTGTTATCTTTTATGGACAAAACAATTAATTGAGAAAATAAGACTTGTAGCTCTACATGCCAGCAGAAGCCCCATATATCACTGGGGCTGGGTACTGCATAGAAATAGAAAGAAATACAAAGTTTTGGTACTCATAGCCAAACAATGCTTCTTACAATACCTTACTTTGCAAAACATGCACTATACCCATAATTTATTTAACAAAATTAAGTTATAGCAATTTACAGCCTCTGCCTTCACCTTTACTAGCATCTAGTAAGTAGCAAATCATGAAAATGCATTTAATTTGACTTTACCAATACTTATCGGCTTTTATTATGCTATCAGAAAAATCCTTATGTGCACAGTACCTACAGCATCACAGAAACAAGCATTTCCCTCTGAACGGACACTAGGTGGGCTAGTCATGAAGCTACTAAACCAATGCTACTGCACCATGTCTTCACTAAGAATAATCCCTAAGGCATGTAATTGTCCATAAAGTTTTTGCAGTCTGTATGTGACTGCCTTGTTGGGGTAAATACTAGGGGATAAAAATACAGCCAGCTAATGGCATAGGCATTAAAGCCTGCATGCAGCAAACATAATTACCGCTTTAGAGGTTGACAGAGTGAGAAAAGGAGAGAGAGAGTGAGATGTACTGGAACAGTGTGACAGACAGAGACAAAGAGAGTAAAGCAGACATGCCTTCAGCCAGCTCATAGGCATACCCACTGGTCTTGCCAGGCCTGGCTCTACTATGCAAGACTGTTGTGTTCCCAAAGTCCTGAGGGTTTGGAAAGACTGTAACAGGCCAGATCCACTGTTCCCAAACAGCAGTGAACTTCTTCACCCCCCTCAGCTATGTGTGCAAATTGTTTCTAATAAATATTTAATCTCAAAGTAGATAAACTACTTTGGCAGAGCTCTGTCCAGATGCTGCCTGGAGAGAAACTGACTGTAGGATTGAAGAGTCCTGTAAGGGGTCATAGTTCATCCAGAAGGCTGATGGAGAGGCTGGCAGTGGGGTTTAGCAGGCTACCTGGACTGGTACTAAGCAGGGTGGGACCATCCGCGGGGCCAGGGCACTGCTATACACTGGCAGAGTGCCACTTGTGGGATGGCTGTGCATGTGTGTTCATATGGCTTGTGCATGCATATGTGAAAGTGGTTTTAAAGGAACAATTAGGCAATGTACCTTCAGCTTCCCACCCTGTGAAAACGGCATTGACGCCACACCAGCATCACAACTTCCTCTGTGGTTAGCAAGCTGCATGCCACCTGTTAGCCAGCGCTCATTTCGCCTGCATCTTTCTTCCCTCTGCTCTCTCTCTCTTCCTATTTACTTTCATCTCCCCCATTTCTCTTCTCTCCCCGTTTTCATCCTTGCCTCAAAGTGGTTTTCCCATGCAGTGCAGGCTTCCACTGCCTCACTTCTTCTCCAAAATAAAAATAAAGAGAGGAGGGGGGTGAAGGCTCAGCCTCTCAGGCTGTTTCCTGTTTGAGTATGCTTCTATATGATATAAGTGGAAGGTCTGAACCCACCATAAACCCACCCAATATAGCCCAAAGCAAAAACCCTTGAGGTACTTAACACCACATCAGAGGGGGCAGCATCAAAACCCAACATGAAACAGATAAATAAAAACCATGAGGTAATTCGGGCTGAGCTTGCTGACAGACTGGATGTGGGACGGGGGAGACAGACATGCTGACTGGGTGAGAGACATGGAGAGAAGGGCATGCCTGCTACCTTGACGCCTCTGCCACAGACACGGGACGCCCCACAGATGCTGCTCTTTTTAGGAATTTTAAACAGTGCAATAAGAAAAGTCAAAAAAAGGAGAGAGACAGAAAGAGAGAGAAAGAGTCCCGGGACCCTCTCTATACCCCTCCCATGGTCCCCCATCTGGATCCCATCTCTGTGGCCTGCTAATGTCTCCCCTGGGGGCCACGGCTCGCCCTTAATTTGTTTCATTTGTGACCCCTGACCCCAAACACCCTGCCCCCTCAAACACAGATTGAGCAAACAATCTCTCTCTGTGTATTTCTTTCTCTTTACTGCAAGCCTCCTGTCAATCTAAGAGTACTGCGCATGTTTCGAAAAACTGTTCTGCAGGCATATGCATGCTGGCATTTCACGAAAAAGGTAAAAACATGAAAAAACAAAAAAACATTGGCTTAATCTAAAATCAGACAGAATTTATTTTACCTTGCTCTAATGTTGTCAGGTGGCAATTTTAAAAATGCAAATGGACTTAAATAATGAAAAAGCACTTTAAAAGAAGACAGAATCATAAACTGGACCTGAACTCTACATTTATGCATGAGAGGCTGTGCATCACATGAGGAGAAATTCATTTTAACAGTAAATCAACAAAGGTGTGTCAGTAAACCAATGTTTTAACATCTCTTTCTGTCACCAATCCATGGGTTTTACAAGTCATCCTTTCATCACCAGTCTATATCTACAATGTTGGTGGCCTATTTTAGATACTAGGGCAATATTAACCCTATATAGCCTCAGGATGTCCTGCTGAAAAAAACAAACAAACATACAGAACAAGGAGAAAGGCCCTAATGGAGGAACTGTTGAAAACATATCCTTGTGCAACACACAGAGAGAAATGAGAGGGATTATAAAACACCCTGAGGTGTCCTGCAGTTATGGTGGCTATAATATTGTGATTGGTTGAAGGGCGTGGTGCAAAAGCTGAAATCTCAAAATAAAAGTGTAATCAATGGCCCCCCAGGAAAAGTAGCTGTCCTCTGTTCTCCTCCAACAGTGAAACAGGGACGGAGAGGGGGACAGCAGTGAGGGAGGGGCACTAGCCAAGGGTGCATAGTAACTGCTGTCAGAATTAGGCAATCTGACTGCCGCCATTCCAAACAGGACGTAACTTATCCAAGTGCTGGCATTTTACTGCTCCCTTTCAGTAGCAGGCCAAGTAGAAAAAAAGAAGAAAAAAAAAAAAAATCACACAGAAATATCTTATGAGATCATTCCTCAAAAGCATCAGACACCCAAGACGGCGCTCCTGATGCCAGTAGCTATCCTTACATGAACACACAGAGCAGGGGTGGGAGAGTGGGAGCAGCTGTGGGCCACATGTGGTCAGAGAGGGGTTCACTACGGGGCGACCGCGCAGCATGGAGCTGCGACAGTACTTATTAGGAGACAATTAGGGTAATGAAATATATACTATACTTAATAAAATGACCACCACAAACCAAGGTCCACAAGGACCTCATTCATTAACTGAAGGAAGTAGTGCTGCAACTCAAGATTATTTTCATTATTGATTTGTCTATGGATAGTTTCTAATTAATCTATTACATTTTTAGTCTATAAGAGCCCTTTGGTGATGTCTTCTAATTGCATGCAAAGATATTTGATTTGCATATAGAAAATAGAAAACAAAAAAAGCAGAAAACTCTGCATTTAAGAAGCTGAACTAGTGTATGAGTTAGCATTTTTGCTTAAGTAATAAATTGCTGATTTTGGCTAACTGACCTATTGTTTCAGCTGTATAACAATGTTCACCACAACTGAACATAGCAGGTAGATTCACTCAGTTGAAGGAATAACATAGTAATGTTGGTGTTATGTGCTGTGTTTGTTGTAGGAGTCGAACTCACCTTTGACCAGCAGCTCAGGGTCTTCCTCCAGGCCCATCTTATTCTTCTCAATGATCAGGCTCTTCATCTCTTCAGACAACTCTGACACAGTGTGCCTGTGTAGAGGAGCAGAAAGAGAATGTAAATAACTCTGCTTCCTTCTCAACTCAAAGTCTTCCCCTGACTACTCCCTCCCATTGGATAGCTAATTGGCTCAGACACACGCAGTTGGCTGTGAACCACACCATGTGACACTGCCAGCTACAAGTCTCTGATACTCTTAGGTGTGGGTCACACAGGGGGGACTGGAAGAAGTGCCACGAATATCTGTCCTCCAGCATTCTCCCACTTTCCCTCCCTAGCAGCACGCAAGCACACAAACATACTGATGCATACCACGCCACTGTGGACAGCTCGTCTCTCTTTTATCACTTTGGCCCGCCGAGCCGAGCGAGCGACTGAAAATAAACGTGACAGAGCGACGCCGGCCTGACTCCAAGCCAGCCAGCTTACGGCGGATAGAGGAAGGCAGAAGGTTCAAGAGGTCACAGCCTTGGATAGTTAAAACCAGAAACATCAAAAACATCTGTAAATCTGCTGAACCGCTGTTCTTTCTTTCTCTCTTTAATGCCTCATGATCATGTTTGCAGCTCCACATACATGACGCTTCAACATCTGGTCAGGCAATGTTGTGGACAAATTCAGACTTTGTTATCTTAGGCCAAGGTCCATTTCCAGTCTATTAGATTGTTTAGAGGTTTTATCTCTGCTCATTTATTTGTCTCATTACTCGTTTATTTTCTCTATTTCCGAGGTCGAACTAGCATGTGAGGTACAAGTGACAAACCCCTCCTTCCTTCCTGTCCTCCTCCTCCTCCCAGGATTATTGCTCAGGAAATGAATCAAGCCCTCCCTCCCACGGCTAGCTGGCCTCTTGTTACATACTCCTTCGCCAGCTGATTTATGTCTTATTGATCTGATAATTCCAGAGGGTTCCTCCTCACGGAAGGAAGAAATAATCAATGAGTCTGAATATAGCCTTATCTGCTTTGACTCAGCTTACATGACTGCAGAAGCCATTTCCGTTCTTTTCGTGTGCACTGACCTGAACCGGTCTATACCATGGTTTATCATGCTGACCTTTGTGACATTGCTTTCAAACAGTGCCTATCTATACTTAAATTCATAGAACTGTTTCCTTTTTGAAATGTTTTTGCAGTTGTAGATCCCAACTGACTGACATGAGTCTCTAATTTAAACTAATGTTCAGACGCAGTGAAACTCTATATTGTGGGCCTGTTTTTCTGTATGTGTGTTCAGGGCATCACCAGAAAGCAGAAGTGAGAGGGAGAGAGTCAGGAGGATCCTGACACATTATATTCAGTCAGGCTCTATAACTAAGCCAGCTCGGCTGGTACAGCGGCAGCCTTCGGGGACCTCTGACAGTCTCTGCATCCACAGACTCCACTTATAGGCATTAAAATATACACCGAAATTTGACGACGTCTCTTATTTGAGGTTGTTAATAACCCCTGCTACATAACGGAGACATACACGCAGACAGGCAGAGTTAGTCTATATGTAGCCCAAATGAAAGAGGGATTAGATTTATAGAAAAACTATACCCTGATGGAAAAATATAGCCTGCTGGGCACAGCCGGGGTGTTTATGTTTATGTTATGTACCATGGGTTATTGTGTGTTATTGTCTGTGAGGGGCTTGCATCCAAGATGTCAATAGCAATAAAAACACAATTACTACACTACGTTTAGTTTCCAAATCTCTTTCTAAATGAGTATACACTAATAATTAGGCCAATGGCGAATTTAACTTACAAACTAATGTAACCTGCTGTAGGATTTGAATCAGCAGTCATATATAAATTAAAATGGTGACTTTCAATTGTACAGTTTATTGAAGAGATTATGTGGTACATATAACATGGTCGTACATCTTGGAGGAATATTCTTGGAGTTCAAAATCAAACTTGGCTCTCATATCTGCAGATTTTTGAGAAATGTGGGTACTCTGCCATACTGCTAGCACAGACAGAAATCTGTTTTTCTGCCCCCATCTTTAACCCGAAATACTTCATAAGTCAACTTCAGTGCTCCTTTCAGGCCATGTAGAGCTGGAGGAGGGATTTAAAGTGGACAGAAGCACAGATTCAAACATGGTCCAAACCCAGGTTTTGACCTTTAGCAGCTGTGACCTTCAATTTAAATGCTCCCTTAGCAAAGTCAGATTGGCCATTGTGTCCAAAAAGCCAGACTAATGTCCAAAATCTCATTGTGACAACAAACTGCTCTTATTATGAGATTTGCCTGTTCTTCCTTTCATTACAATATTTTATTTTCTCTTCATTATAATTCCCTAAGTTTTCAATAAGAAACCTTTTGTAAAGTTAAAGAGTAAAAGAGTAAAGCGTAAAAGTACAACACAAACCCAATAGCAGATCAAATACATTAACATAATTCCATACGTGTCCAAAAAACGCTTTCTTTTGAGTCTTCTTGTGTAAGCTTCACAGATACTTGGAAATTTGTGAGTTAACATGGTCATGACATTTTCAATTAATATATACTTCCCTTACATTCACACTCCAATCTGTGGTGCAACAAAATAAAAAGATGGTTGACAAAGAAAACTACATCTGATAGAGCTTGGGGCAAACATTTGAGCACTGTTGATGTGGGGGCTTTGGATCTCCACAGCTGTCCAGCAGCCCTAAAACCCCCACCTTCACTCAAACACCCCATCCCTCTATGCTACCGCCCCCATATTCCCAGAAGTCCCAGCAGAGGCCGTGACGGTGGGGCCTTTAATGGGCAACTTCCTGTGGAGTGCGGGAAACAATTTGACATGGGGATTAGACAGCACAGAGAAAAGAGTGAGTGCATCTAGAGACAGCACATCTCTCTCTCTCCCTCTCTCTCTCACCCTCCCCTCGAGGACTAAACATCAGCTTCTGCAAAGCATCAGCAAAGGGCCACAGGCCGGACCTGAACCCGGGCCGCTGCAGCAAGGACCCAGTACATGGGGTGCAAATGTCAGCAGCCTAGATCACATAGGTCAGCTCAGTCAAGCAAATAAACTGCTAGCTGCCCCACAAGGTAGGAGAGGGGGAAGTCACAGGAAAATAAGTCAGAAAAGAAGAACCAAAATTTAAAAGAGGAAGGGAAATACTTCCCTATACTGTATGTATAACCACACATATCTGATTCTATAATCAATCTAAAACATATATTTGCATTTTTTGAGTCTAGCATCTGTACAGAAGTGACTATAGTGTAACGCAAACTGGGCCCTCAGATATTGCGACTGATAGAGATGAGCTGTTCAATACTCATCTATCCATCACTAATTATCCCCACAACTAGTCTGTGTGCGCCCTACTTTCTCGTTTACATGCATTTAGAAACAACTTTTTTTAGCAAAGCCCAATCAATTGGCACTGTCAAGCATAACACATGTTGACAGTTTTGTAAGTTAAATTGCCATTTTCTTCTAATAATAAAGCCATTTTACTTGTCACCTTTTCTTTCTTTCTTGCAAACTAATAAATAACATGGATTTGCTAAAATGACTTACTCACAACATTGAAACAATTCTTTAAAAGGGTATCATTAAATAATGTTATTTTGAAAAAGACTCGACCCCATAAAAAATTAACACCATTGTTCAGGATTAGTTGGGTTAAGATTTACTAGGAATTAGATGAGGCCACTTAATCCCACATACTAAGAGTAATAAAGGTGGATTTCGTGTTGCCGGCGCGGGGCTAAACACGGTGCTCAACAGAAGCTAACATGGAGGAGTCAAGAATTTGCACCGTACGTACAGTGTGTACACGCCCACACAGTCCTGAGAGGAAGTCTAATCAGCTACATTAGTGAAAACCCCTGTGTGGCTGTGAGGTTGGGTACTAAGCTTTTTATCAGCATGAAACAAATTAATTTTAATGACATTGTACTCAAGGGTGCTGGGGTTTTAGCTACCTCACTGCAACGTCACTACCTGTAAACCTTGTCCATCATGCCAGACTTGACCTTATTCTGTTTTCCACAGTGATTATGAGTAATAACTGCAGTTATAGTACAATTCTCAATTATCAAAAATAGTTCAGGCATCAGTGGCCATGCCCACTGTTCACAACAGTTTGTTTAAACCGCAATTACAAGCAATCGAGTTGGCAAACTCTTCACGTCAGTCTTTGAGTTGTGATTACGAGCAATAACGATTAGTGGTTGACCAATATGGGTTTTTCAATGGCCGATTCTGTTTAGAAGAGCAGGGTGGCCAAAGGCTCATATATAATGTTGATATCAAAACAAGGAAAAGTCATGTATTATTCCATTATTTCATGCACATAACAATCTAATGTACATGGTTAAATGGAATTCTTATTAATTAATGAAACAGATAAATTCATTGTGTTATGCTGTAGATTTCAGAGCGTGACTAGTATTTAAGGAGAGCTGGGTACAATATGTCAAGAGCGACGTCAATGTAGGTAAGGATGCATGAGAGTTCTAGTACAGGGCTCAAAACTAATTTTTTTATCACCTTTTCAAAACTCACAAGGGGGGGATTGCCAACATCGTTCCACAGCAGCCACACTGACAAGTCTGCAGACATTCTTTGTTTATCAGGTTTGTGAGCGCAGTCATTGGCCCATGCTGATTATCTCAAAATGCCAGTCTATCAGTCCGATTAATCGGTCTAATAATGGTTTAGTAACAGTTATTTTTATTATCAATTAATCTGCCAGTATTTTTGCATTATTTACACTATAAAAGCTACAGATTCACTCAAGTCAACAGCGTGTTGGCTGCTCCCACATACTGAAATAAGGTCATAATAAGTGATGAGCATATTGTCTGCAGTCCTTTCATGGTGACAATGATGGTGACACACTTAAATCCACTAAGAATACGAGCAGCACAATGAGTTGATTAGTTTATCTGTCTGCTCGTAGCTGCTGGAGCAATGAGTAATTGATTTCAGTCTGGGGTCTAATCAAAACGGCGAGACGCTAATTAAAGTTAGAAAAGTAGTGTCCTTGCTCTTGGGCTTGGATGACCGCAGTGGAAACAGTGGAGACATGTTCCAGCATACAAAGCGAGTCCTTGTGGCCACAAGAAACATGCACAGTTGCAAAAATGACCCTTGTGCGGCTGTGTCACAGAAATACAGAGAGATTTATCTGATGGAGGAAATGCCTGGATGGGTCCGAAAAGTCATTCAAACAAAACTTCAAACCAGCTGCCTTTTTACTGATGTGTATGTTCATATACTGTACACAAATGACAGCCATACATCAAGTTACACTGTTTATTTGACATTTGAATAAGCACCAAGGATAAATAACACTATCTGAGAGGACCTTCATTAAAACATTGTGGGTCATACTGTAGCAATAAATAATCTGTTCTCTTTGTAGAAATCCATTTCTCTCTTAAGTCTCTATCCCCTCCCCCACAGTACATGGACTGGCTGCAAGGGCCTCTGGCTGAAACTGGGCTGGTGGGAAAATGGGAATGTGGTGATTAAGACTGGGCCTATATGACCTCCCAGCTAAAAATACGCTGTTTACTCAAGACCACTGCCAAGAAACTCTGGACTAGGCAGAGGGGAGAGGAAAAAAGTCATGTTTTGAGAAAGGAGGGGGGTAGGGGTGGTGGGGTGACAGGAAGTCTGAGTTTGTGACTGAAGGGGAGTGTTGATCAGCAAGAAATTTTATGATAGAGAGTGTAAGTGACTTCTTAGTTTAAATTAAGTTATTCTGATGGTGAAGCCTGATGTGAATTGAAACTTTCTGTATTTGCTGATGTTGTAAACAGGGCCAGTTTGTGATGGTTGGATGGTTGACAGACAGCCTGACACAGACACTCAGACAGGCAATTATCGTGGGGCCCACTTCTAAGCTTTTCATGTTTCATGCATACACACACTCATACACAGACATGAAATACATTCTGAAACATTGGTCTCTTTCAGCTATTACAGCCTGACAGACCGCACCAGAAAATGTCAAGTTTTTGACTGTTTAAAGCCGGCAAAGAAGAAGGGGGCTAATGAGAAAGCAGACGGAACAAATGGTGAAAATGGGAGATGGAGAAGTCCTCAAGTGTCCACTTTCCTTCTGGTAAAGTTTGTACTCTGCTCTGCCCCAGCTATGAGAAGGAACTTAAGAGTCGAGGAAAGTGGGAAAGAAAAAATAGTTATGATGTAAGACAGATTTTAGTATGAGCACAGTAGGGGAGCTGCTTGGCACTTTGAAGTCTTGCGATAACAAATGATTGGAGATCTCAGTGCCTACCAATCGTCTGGGGATTTCTAAATGTAAAGGACTTGCTTGAACAGTGGCAAGAATGGTCGCTAACAAACGTACACCTGTGACTTCAAGGACACGCCTCACCTGAAACGTTCTCCACCCATTCTCCCCTTCAGTGAGACAAACTGGAGATAAAGCAAATAACTTTGTAACCCAGAGAGAGTTTTTTTTCTTAAAAAAAAAAAAGCACAGAACTTCCTGCATGTCACCAGCATGTCACATGTTTATATTCAGTTTTAACAACAAAAACTAGGAGAAACTCCTCGATCTATATTGAGCGAAGCTGAGAATGTACACTAGCTTATGTGCCACATTTCTTGAGTAATAGAAAGCTGTTTTGATCACATGGTGTCTATGTGTATCTAAATCCTGTCAGAAGACTAAAATTGCATAATAGACACAAATTTTATTGTGAAATGTATATTCACATGCAATTTTAGCATGCTATATACAAAATACATAGGTAATACTCAGGAATAATAATAATAATAACCAGGAAATTCTGGGAAACCCCCTTAAATGGCTCAGATTTGTGTCTGTACCCACCACTCTGTTTTGACAGAAGTGGGCCTTTTTCCCTCCCTATCCACATCATGCCTGCAGCATAACAAATTATGTGAACATTACCATATTAACCTCAGTCTGGTAGGACAAACATAAATCCCCCCAAATTTGTAACCATTAAATCAGGGCAATTATTCAAACTAATAGGTAAGATTAACGTCTCCTTCTGGACAGTTCAGTTCAATAGCTCAGTAAAAGCACAAAGTAAACCACAGCTGCCCTGCCTGTAACTTGAGACTGAAGATAAAATGAATATGGCACCATTTGCTACATCACAATGCCCTGACTTATCAGAGCCTGGCTTAGCTTTCCCTACAGTTCAACTTCTAGGCGTGTTCAGTCAATGGCCAGGTAATGACCAAGCAGTACGCTCTCTAATCTCTGCAATAAGTGTGATGATTACAGCCAAGCTTTTAACACACTCCCTTCAAAACCAGTAGTTAATTATGCCATATGGCCTGAGGCCACCTCCACTGTATTGTAGAAGTGACACACACACACGCACACGCACACGCACACGCACACACACATCCGAGCCACACCTCTTCTGGGAGTGCTTCTGAGGTATGACTGAGTCACACAGTCCAGTTAGCCTGCATCCCTCCTCCCATCTTCCTGTCCTTCTTTCCCTCAAGCTTCAGGAGACAGCATGTACTATATGACTGCAGCAAAATGTATCAGCTTCAGCTCCCCTACCCACTTCCTGAGACAGCTCTCTTCTTGTCTAGAGTTGTTGCCGTCCCTCATCTATTCATTTGTCATCAGCTTTGTGACTCATTGCCTGTGAGTCGGCAGATGTACAGTAGAGATTGTGGACAAGGGCAGAAGGCAGAGGGGGCGATAAGGGCACGATGCCAGAGGCAGAGAGGAGCAGAGCCTGGCTACATCACTGTCTGAGATCACAGCCCTGTACTAATAGTCTGGATCAAGCCCTCCATGAATCAGTCCTTTTCATTGGCACTAGCATTCACTTGTCAACCACATGACCATTTGAATTTCATTATTCTTGACTCATAGTAGTTCCTTGTAAGCTGCAGTTTGAGTGTATGGCCTTCAAACTAAAAAAGTGATTGGATTTGTTGATCTGGAAGCTGTATTGAGTTAACCTGATATCACAACTGTGATTGGTCACGATTATCTAGGTAATAAAGTGACATATTATTGGCCAATGCGGCCCCTAACAGCGGCCAAGCCAACCTTTGAATGGCAAAACTCAAATACTTAAGAGGTTAATGAGTAAAAACTGACAGCAGGATTATCTATAGGCGGTCAGCAACAAAGCAACTTATAAATGTCAGATCATCTCTCAACATATAGAAGTCTGTACCACTTGTATATACACATGTAAGCATATGTGTGGATATGACGTAAGGCACATGTGTCATGGCCATGCACATGGGGCGGCAGATGAGGTGAAAAATCAAGTGACTGGCCTGCACTTAAACATGTGCCTGCCTGAAAAGAAATACAGATATTCCCAGCACTAAGTGGAAGTATAAGAGTCAAACAAGGAACTAATACTTCCTAATATTTAAGTAAAAAAAAAGAAATCTGTTTCTCTCTCTTACCCATTTGTTCCATTGGCTGTTCGAGTTGGTTGAGAAACAGTCACCTCAGCTGGACTCTGTCAACAGAAGAGAGAGAATAGGGTAAATAGATGATAATGCAACACAAACAGTAGTCTGTCCTTAGAACTAGTCCACAGGTTGGAGTGATCCCTCAATAGTTTGCCTTCAGTGGCCATATTATAGTAGAGCATGCAGTCGTTCCTGGCAGTCTAAGTACATAGCTGCTCTGTTCCTGTAATGCTTGGCTTTCACTTGCAAGGAGTGAGCTGGTGGAGAGAAGTATGGCATGCAAAACTGGCTCATTTAATATAGGAGTGGGGAACAGAGGAAGCTTTTGTGCAATTGCTGCATGCACCCCAACCAGCAAACCCCGAAATGCTTTTATTCAGATCAGTCATTTCTCTGAGAAGGTTGTTAAACTTAAAATAACCCTGGTCTTGCACTTATAACAGGAACAGCTGCCTTCATCTTTTCTATCACGTTTATAGTGTCACAAGTTGGTGGTAAAAGGCTGTTAGCTTGATGAAAACAAGTAAGAAAGACAGAGACCACTAGGGGGAATTGTATAAAAAAAACTCTTTATGTAGAAAAATTATGGTGTACTTATGATGATTATCTGATGAACACAGCCACAGATCTTACACAAATTACCAGCTAAACGTTTGTGAAATTATCTCCACTGCAAGCCAGCTACTCATATCAAATTGTATTCCCTCTGTCTTGGACATCCGTTTTGTATGGAAACTGGGGTTAGTGCTTCTACTGACTACAAATGGGGCTGCCACTGGCAGACACGTAAAATCAAATTTCATGGGTGGAACAATGAACTCTTCATTCCAGGACTCCCTGTTAAGGAGAAGATGGGAGAGGATGTTTCCTTTCACAGTGTTCAGGCCCCTAGATTCCCAACCTGACCTTGGAAAACCCCATCAGACATCAGAGCTTGCCTGTATGCAATTTGGACTGATTCCCTGGTGTGCAGGGCAACACTGTGTGTCCCAGCAGCCCGACTTGTTGTCTCTGTGCGCCACAGCCTTGAGCCAGCTCCTGTGGCTGCCCCGGCCTAACTCGGGGGTGTTGGCCTACCTGAAACACTATCCAGGTCAGCTCTGGGCCCCTCACAGTTCACACACCACACTTTACTACTGGGCAAACTAGCCTAAGTATAGCCCTTGCCCTGCAAAAAACGTCTACTGCTTCTTTTTGGCTGGCTCAAAAATAACAAAGAAAACATGAACTGCAAATTTATAGGTTAGTATGGCGTCTGTGTTATATTTGTAAGGCAGATGGACTCTGAGGCAAATGAGGAAAAGATGAGGGTGTGGATAATGAGATTTGATTAATGTTTAACTTAGGGAGAGGTACTGTAAATGTCAAACCAGGCAGGCAAGAATAACTGAACAGTGTCAGAAAGCAACTTGTGAATGAGTGTATGCACAGTAATCCCCTACCCCTGTGTGCTAACTATAAATGATTTAACCAATTCAGACAGACAGCCATGACTGAAAACGACAAATCAATACAAATCCCATCAACTGACTGCAAAGCTGTAATTCCATAATAGAAACTAATCAGAGGATCAATACACTAATTGGTCAGGTAGATCAAGTTAGAATATTTTGAGTAATTCTCCACAAAACGTGACAATTTACAGAAAAATAGCTTTCCAATAGAGTTAATGGGCTGTGGGATGAGAAACAAGGATAGCGTGCGATGCAGAGCCCTGGCAAAAGCTCTCCCTTTGGACGGGCAGAGGATGAATCACTCCAGTCTAGAGCAGAGCATGGAGGGAAAGAGGGAAAGATGCCGTAATGTGTTCGTTCCGTGGCTGACTTCCGCTCTTGCTCACCCCGTCTACTCTCTCTCTCTCTCTCCCTCTCTCCAGGGAGGCTGAGTAACCAGGAGGAAATGCTTGGGCTCAGTCAGTTTCGGCCTGAAGACCAGATGTGTGGCCTGGAGGTGGTGAGGCAGAGACGCAACGGAAACCAAATATAAACTAGCGAACCATGACACCTCTGAAGACAGAGGGCAGTAGTGACGGTTAATGGGACCCGCTTTCAACATAGCCGGACTGTGCCCATTTGTTCCAAGTAACAGGATGCACTGCGGTACTCCAGCCCACACTTACAACTGTGCAGGCCTAAACACTCTGTGGTGGTAGTTTATTGGTAAACGTGACTTCACGTTACATAAAAAATGAATAAAGTTTCAGTGGAAACATGGAAAGAAGAGAGAATGACGGATGTCCTGTCCTAAAATTAGTGCCTTGCTGTCCCAACACTGGAGGCATTCAGCTCAGTGTGACTGTTTGGGCAGCTGTTTGAGAGTAGTTTCTTTGAATGAGGATGGTAAACATTCAGGGAAAGGGTTTTGACATGGCCCTGTACTCTTAAGGGCCAAGCCTGCACAGGCATCAGCACTGACTCATGATTCCAACCTCACAGAGAAGAGTCCTGGCGAGGAACAGTGTGTCGCCTATGGCTTTGGTACTGTAAATGCGACCCATCATGGCATCTTCTGGCAGCATGTTGGAAAACAAGGCAGGAGATCGTGGTGAAGGTTTTGGATGTCTTCAGCAAGTCCACCAGACCTGTGGGTTACTGTGGTCCTCCTTGGCAGGAGCTGGACAGAGGTCTACTAAATGGAGTTTTTCAGTGTTACGAAGCCCAAAAGACACAAACACACACACCCAGGGAGGTCTGACCTGCTGTCTGAAAATGTGGCTTGTCAAGATCTGGACGAAATCGAGCTCTTAGGGTAAACAATGGAACGTGGCCCTAAGGGGCTTTCCCTGGGAATCACTGTAGACCATCTTCAACCCTCTTTGCCCCACCCCCTCCGTTGACACCATGGAAAGCCAAACAGTACCAGACAGATCTGTGTATTCTGAGGGGAGGGGCTCTGGGGAGCAAAACGAATTGTGTTGGCTAAGAGAGGGTCAGCATGAACTATTGACACAGTTACAATAACCAGCATAAAACAGTGCATTTGTGGAAGTGGATTGATGACCTGGATGCGTTTGAGAATCAATAAAGAATAAACTTCAAAAGATCTGGGTGGATTTATTCAAACCAAAAAGGTTTGTTTAGTGCAAAAGTAAGTAACCAATTGCAGCTCACTAGGTAAAACACTGTCAGTTACATCAGTCAATAAATGGTTCCTCCCATTAAGAAGTAATCTGATAAACTGAACAGGCCTAACCACATGATAGATTAAGACAGAATGTTCCTCAGAGGGAAATATATTACATAGATTAATACAGACACAATATCATTTTTATGACTCAGGACAGGTCAGTCCACATTTATGAATATTTACAAGCAAGAAATCAATAGAACCAAGACTCTAATTAGTGATGTAACACCACTGTAGGGGAGAGAGCAGCTCTAAGGGGCAAAGAAGCCTCATGAGCTTCACATTACTCAGTTTTGCACCGCCATACATAAGCCTATACTGACAAATGATAGAGCCAGCTTTATTTTAGAAACTATTCTTGCGTTAAAATTACATCCGTTTCAAATTTGAACTGGCCTTAGGTACAACAGTTAAAATGCAGCAGTATCGCACGCAATTTATCTTGTACAGAGACTACAGATATGCCGGAACCCAATCCTTAGATCAAGGTCATCCTCATCTCTCAGGGCCACATTCTTCTCCAGACAACACATCTGTAATTCAATAAACCAACATTAAACCCAAGCCACCCAGAGAAGCCCAATTCTGCAGATGGAGTAAAGGTTGCATTTTAATGAGGGATCTGGGAAAGTCACTGCATCACACTTTAAAAAAGGCCATCAGGCGTCTCCACTGGGACATGTGACTATGATCTTGTACTGATCGGGAAAGTAGACCACAGTTGCGTTCCTTTGGCCATGCAGATGGTGCATTATGACCAAGACAGGGATGTTTGCCAAGAAGAAGAGTGCTGCACACAAACACCTCTCTGGATACCCCTGAGCAACAGATGTTGCTCTTATCTGGCGGCTGCTGGTACTGTTAGACTTCTGTTGAGGCAATAACTGTGTAAAACTTATCTGTTCCCAACGTTTTCATGCAAATTGCTGTGGTGTTGCACTGGTTGGTTGCAAGCACACAAAAGGTACAATAAATAGATAAGCTGGCTATGCGATTAGTCGCTCCAGGTGGCATTTCATCAACAAGGCTCTGCTAGTGGAAGTCAAGTCTCTGTGTAAAGAAAATCAAACAATCCCAAAAAATATTTAAAAGGGTGGATATTTCTAAGAGACAGTACATAAAGAGCTGTACATTGAGCCATACAGATAGAGCCTACCTCAGTTCAAGTCAACAATGCCCCCTCACAAGTGGGTGGACAATGCTGAACTCTCTGTGCCTGATCAGATGACTAACATTACAGAGAAGACAAGGCCGCAGTATTATTTGCAATTGAGCAGACGGAGGCCAAGCACACAAGATCAGTTAAACACACTGGGTTTTACAGCTTGCATCAGAGTCTGTGTGTGTGTGTGT